ACTCTCACTCTGGTGGGAGGAAAAATGCTGGCTGGGGAATTCTGGGAGTTGAAGTCCACTCATCTTAAAGTGGCCAAGTTTGGACAACACTGATTTAAGCGCTGTGCAATGTTTTGGATTTGATTCCAGAAAGGCAATTCGTTGTGTGCTGAGGCATAAATGCAGTAGCTATTTGAGATTCACCAAGGCAGGCTGTGCCGAGACCCAGGACGTTCCAATGCACCTTTCTGGAATAACATCTGAAGCACTGCACAGCCCTACTAGATCCAATTCATGAGATAAATGTTGGCCCCTTTTTAATTTGGTTTAAAATTCTTTAAGCAATAGCATAAAACAAGAAATTGCTTCACATACTTCCCTGAATCAGACAAAGTCCCATTTAGATACATGCTGACCACTAAATTTTGTTCATTAATTAAAGTATGCCCATATTGACTGATAAACCAAGGTTGTAATTTTATGGAAACAAACTCAAACACATACATGGCCATTCCTTTAAATAATATAGTTATTCCAAATATTGGAAAACTGCAGTTGTAGAACTATGGCAAGAATGGCTGAATAGAATTTATCTCTCTGATTTGAAAAGTACTCTAGGAATATTTATTTATACCTTGTACTCCAAATGTACTATGGGTCTGAGATTCAGGGTCATCTCAGTATAGCTCACGGAAGTTCTCCTGAATGGATGACTAACAAAGATATGGTTTAACCCTGGTGCACTCTAAATCAAGTAGCTGATCTGGATTTCCAAAGAAATTTTGGCATAATAAATTTGAGCCATGGACTGGATTCCTGTCTCTCTGCAGAGAATATAGCAACATTAAAGAGCTACAGTTTACACAGTTATACATGGCCTACCATCTGGATTTAATAGACAGATTACTCTATTTCATATATTTACAAACAGGAAACAACTGAATTCTTTTCAATGGTTTGCCACCACAACTCCCTACCCCATCCCAAATTTCAAAGTATTTGTCGAATATTTCTTGTCCACAGTTGAGAGATGTCTTCATCAAATTTTGTTTCCTGTTTTTGGAAATTTATACCACCAGATTTATGTGAAAGCATGCATGTGTAACTTTTCAGTGACTCTGGGCATTTCATTTCGTTTTCTTACTAAAGGTTGTAGCGGGCCAGGTCATGCTATAAAATGGGCAGGAAGAAAAAGAGGGGGAAAAATTAAGTCCCTTAAAAGGTTTTTAAAACTTGAGGAAAAGGCTAAATACAAACAATCCCTTTTTACTTCTTAAATATGTATTTACCACCAAATTTGGTAATGTAATGTGAATTTCAGCAGCACAACCACAATGAGTTCTGGGGCAAGTCAAGAAGCTATGGGTGGCTTAAAAGCCTATAAGAGATAAATTACTATCTGTAGAGACAGCTGCACAGTTGTTTGTCTTTTTTATGCCTCTCTTGGAAGAAAATTCCTATCTTAGAAGTAGATGTACTGAGATATTAATAAATTATATAGTGCCTACTTCTAGATTGGTAAGATTGGAGATTTCATCAAATTGCATTATTCACAAGAACAGTTAAAGAAATTTCAGGCAAGTGCCACAAACAAATTATTGGCAGAGGTACTACTGAACGATTCATTCTACAGTAGTTATAATTGTTTATGTTAATGAGAATGGGAAAACTCAGTTATTCATGCTTTATATCTTTGGTTTCTACATTTTTACCTCTTTTATATTGTCTGCGTGGCCTGCAAAAATATGTAATAAACATTTTTTTTATATACAATGGACCTTTCTGGAGAGAAATGTCCCCATAGAGACCCACACCTCTCTCGATTTCTGTTCTAAATGGGTAAAGAACATTCGAAGAGACTGGAGTTATCTACACGGCCAACTCTTATTCTGGGGAAAGTAAAACTTATCAAAGAGAGTTTAATGACCTAACCTCAGAGAAAATTTCACATTCCAGTAGCCATAAAACATTCTAATTAAAAAAGTTACATTTTCAATAATGAGGAAAACATATGTAGGCTGGATGTTGTGTACAAACCTAAGCTTAATTTTTTTATTTCTCTTGTAAGAATCCCCTCAACAGCCTATACCATTCTTCTGGGAGTATGTAAAGAAATAAATAAGTCTAGGACGTATTATTATAGTTTCCAAAACAAGATATTTTCTTTATTACTTGAACCACATGGTGATACATTCAGCCCTCTGCCTTTACAACCATCAGAACTATGCAGGGTTTTAAAAATATAGTTATAGCTCTTTTCTTTAATCCTATAGAATATTTTCAATAAATATATCTGCAATAATAAATTATCTTTCCTAACTGCATATTAAATAGAATATTGTACAGAATCAAGGTAATTTTGTATTTAAAATGCAAGATTTTGAACTCATAATTACCACAGATGGGGCTCCTCCACACGCAGTTCAGCAGCCTTATGACCTATTTTGGTTTCTGATTGACATCTTGACTTTTCTTCAGGAGCTCAGGGCAGCAACCCTAGCACTTTATCCAGCAATTTCCCCCAGCCAATAACTCTATGTCATGGGTTAGCCTGTGGGATTGTAACTGACCCAGAGGTACATTTGAAAATCAGTATAGTGCTAGCACATCACAATGTGCCAGTTTCCCATTTAAGGAATCTATAAAAACCCAAGTTAGTCACAGCAGAGATAATGATGGATACCAGGATGCGCAAAACATTGCAATTCCAAAACAGATCATTTCTAGTGCTGCAAGAGTAGCTCAACACTGAAAGGCCCATTTTGCGGATCAGAACAATCAATTACAGAATTAGCATCAGTTACGAATAAAGAGAGTGAAAGATATTTTCTCCATTTTCAAATCTGTTTTATTAAAAGAGAAAAAAAGCCACAGCTGTTGACGACTTACTTTCCCTCTGCAAAAGCAGTTAGAGTGCAGAAGCAGAAGTAAGACAGTTGGACTGCTACGGGTCTGATACGCCTGCTCATTGAACAAAGAAAAGAGGAAAAAGAAACAACCTGATTACAACTGAAACCAGATATTAAAGTCTGAACATGCTTGTGCAATCTTGAAGTGAACCAGTATTCAAAGAAATGACTCTGGGACTCTCTGGGACATTTCAATCACAAAATATACTTTAGAATGCAGCAACAACTCCATCATGCCTTAGGACACTCGAAGAATACAAATGAGATTATTCGGAGGCTCTGCTACTAAACCTTATGTCTAATGAGGCCATTCTTTCTAACACTTATTGTTATTAGTTGAGCAAAAAAGAAAAGGGCATGGCCTTACTGGAATGTGAAAGAGCTCACCAGTTCAAGAACTAGTAATGCAAAACATCAGCAAACAGCTTAGTTTAGCAATTAGTCACTGATTGTATCTGGGGACATGCTAATTTATATTGTGGTCTGACTTAGTATAACCCATGAACAGGAAACATAGTCACTTACTGGTCTGGGTGCAAGAATACTAACAGTAGCCTGATCTGTTCCTGATTTTGTATATTGCTGAGCCCAGACCCTTAGCTGTTAACACTCCAAAGCAATGACACAGGATGCCCAAGCCACAAAGCAGAGCGATTTTGTAGCAAGATTTTGGTAGCTTGAATTTTGTTTTTCACCTTCTCTAGGTGT